AGCAGTTGATAGTCTTGGATCCCAGCGCTGTGGGGGAAGTCCTACTCTTGTTATCTTTTTTTTTTTTTTTTTTTTGAGATGGAGTCTTGCTCTGTTGCCCAGGCTGGAATGCAGTGGCGCGATCTTGGCTCACTGCAACCTCTGCCTCTTGGGTTCAAGCAATTCTCCTGCCTCAGCCTCCTGCGTAGCTAGGATTACAGGCATGTACCACCACACTCGGCTAATTTTTATGTTTTTGCTAGAGATGGGGTTTCACCATGTTGGTCAGGCTGGTCTTGAACTCCTGACCTCATGATCCACCTGCCTCGGCGCCTCCTACAGGTGTGAGGGATTACAGGTGTGAGCCCCCAACTGCGCCCAGCCTGGCCTGTTCTTTTTTTTTTTTGAGATGGAGTCTTGCTCTGTTGCCTGGGCTGGAGTGCAGTGGTATGATCTCGGCTCACTGCAACCTCTGCCTCCCAGGTTCAAGCAATTCTCCTGTCTCAGCCTCCTAAGTAGCTGGGATTATAGGCAGGTGCCAACACGCCTGGCTAATTTTTTTGTATTATTAGTAGAGATGGAGTTTCACCATGTTGACTAGGCAGGTCTCGAACTCCTGACCTTATGATCGGCCCACCTCAGCCTCTCAAAGTGCTGGGATTACAGGCTTGAGCCACTGCACCCGACCTCCTGTTCATCTTTTCATGTCCCCCCTGCCAGTCTCCTGCTGGGCTCTCTGTTGCATGGGAAGATTCCTCTGTACCTGTTTTTGTGGGTTTCCTTAGTGCAGGTTAATGATGGCTGTTGACCGACTGCAGTCCCCATTGTCGCTGAATGTGATGGCCTGGAGGTCATCAGACACTAACCCCTGGGGAGGCAGTTGGCAACAGAGGTGTTTATTAACTTGGCCTTGACAGACCAGTTGCCCCCCTTAGAGCTGAGGGACCAAGAACACTGTTAACTGTGTGAAAAGAACTAGGAGCCACCCAGGTGGTGATCAAACCCACAGAGAATTCCCTTCGTTTCCGCAAATCTGTATTTTGAGATGGCCAATGAAGGGTGATTTATGGATGTGGTGTGTCTAGGCAGACTCGGGCGGAGAGGAGTCAGCTCCCTGTTAGGGGACTTTGGAGAGGTTTTGAAAGGAAGGGAGAATGTTAAGGCTTTGTACCATAGTCCCTCAATAGCTTGAATCTGCTACCAGCTCTTGGACCTTGGAGCAAGTGACTTCACTGGTCCTGCCTCAGTTACATCACTTGTCACATGGAGGGTTGGATGCCATGAGTTCAGTCTTTCCAGCTCTTGACCGTCCATGTCTACTGTGGTCGGCAACACTTCCCCTGCTTCTTGCCACCCTAGCTTTTTTTGGCCATCTTCTCTGCTTTTCTCTTTATCTTGGCTATTGATATTTATACTTTCCAAGAAGTTAGAGCTCAGAGTGAACTTTACCTTTTTTATCTCCTTCTTTAAAGATTCCCTCCTCCAAGATACCACTGGAGGTGATGTGGTGGTTGGTACTTGAGCTGGAATTCCAATGGGTGCCTTGCTGGTTTGAGTTTGGGCTGAATGAGGCCACGTTGATTGCCGTCCATCTTGCCTGGGAACACTCTTTTTTGCAGTCTTTGCTGCTTTCCTTGGTCTCTTAATTAAAACTTTGTTGTGCTTTGCTTCTTTGGTGAAAAACAGGTTGTTTTAATGATGATCACAGGGTTTTGTGGTCATTAAGTAACGTGGACTGTTGAGCTTTAAGTAAATACTGATTTTCTTATATCAAGGGTCTAGAAAGCTTCCCTAGATTTTGGGTGGAGGCAGTGTTCTCATCATTGGAAGATGTGCTCTCTATTATGAAGCAGTGATTTTCACATTTGCCCTGTGATTCAGTTGTGTTTACATTGTGGAGTAGAAAGACCTAGCCAGGGAGTTAGGACTTAGCCAGGGAGTTAGGAGAGCGAGATTTGAGTTGTAAGGTCATGTTATTGTGACTTTGAGCCCGTTAACTGTGTATCTGGTCTCTAAGATGAGAGATTTGGACTAGATGCTCTCTAACCATCCTCCCTGACCTAAAAATTCCATAGTTCTTTGTATTCATATATACTGGATGTGAAAGGGCTCTGGAATAAATGATGGGAACAAAAATCAGCAAGGAATGGCTAGTTTATAGTCCAGAAAAGACAACATGGTTGCTGAATCATATCCTTAAGTTATTTATTTTTGAAAAAACCTTTCTGTAGCATCCTGAGACATGTTTTTTTTGTTGTTGCTTTTTTTTAAACAAATTGAGATAAATTTACATACCGTAAAATTCACCATTTTAAAGTATCCAACTAAGTGGTTTTTAGTGTATTCACAAAGTTGTATTGCCATCACCACTATTTAATTCCAGATCATTTTCATCACCAAAAAGAAACCCCATACCCATTAGGAGTCATTCCCTAGTCCCCTGTACCCTAGTCCTTGGCAGTCACTCATCCACTTTCCATCTCTATGGATTTACCTACTCTGGTTGTTTCATATATGGAATCATACAATATGTGGCCTTTTGTGTCTGGCTTCCTTTATGTAGCCTAATGTTTTTAAGATTCATCCAAATTGTAGCATGAATTTGTATTTCATTTCTTTTTATGGCTGAATAATATTCTTTCATATGCATATGACACATTTTGTTTATCCATTCATTAGTTGATGGACATTTGGGTTGCTTCCACTTTTAGGCTATTATGAGTAATCCTGTGACTGTTTTCGTACAAGTTTTTGTGTGGACATACATTCTTAGTTCTCTTGGGTATATAACTAGGAGTGGAATTGCTAAGTCATATGGTCAGCTTAACTTTTTAAGAAGCTGCCAAACTGTTTTCTGAAGAGGCTGCATCACTTGACATTAATACCAGCAATATGTAAGGGTTCCAATTTCTCCACATCCTAGTCAACACTTGTTATTGTCTGTCTTTTTTTATTACACCCATCTTAGTGGCTGTGAATTGGTAGGTTTGATTTGTGTTTCTCTGGTGGATGACTAATGATTTTGAGTGTTGTTTTATATGCCCATGGCTGTGTGTATCTTCTTTGGAGAACTATGTATTCAAATCCTTTGCCATGTTTATATTGGATTATTTGTCTTTTTATTGTTGAGTTGTAAGATTACTTTATATATTCTGGACATTAGACCTGGATCAGATACATAATTTGCAAATAATAATTTCCAATTTGTAGATTGTCTTTGCACCCACTTGATGGTGTCCTTCAAAGGACAAATGTTTTTAATTTTGATGACATCCAGAATAGTCATTTTTCCTTTGGTTGCATAATACAGAGTCACAAACATTTATACCTATATTTTCTTCTGTTTTATAGTTTTGGTGCTTACATTTAGGTCTTTGATCTGTTTTGAGTTAATATTTGTATATGATGTGAGGTAGGGGTCCAATTTCATTCTTTTGCATGTGGATATGTCCAGTTGTCCTGGCACCATTTGTTAGGAAGACTTTTCTTCTTGAATTCTCTTGACATCCTTTTTAAAACTCTATATACTTTTGATATATTGGTTTATTTCTGGACCTTCAGTTCTGTTCCATTGATCTTTATGCCTATCCTTTATGTTAGTACCATAAAGCCTTAACTAACTGTAGGCCTTATGGTATGTTTAGAAATCAGGGAGTATAAGTCTTCCAACTTTGTTTTTCTTTTCCAAGATTGTTTTGGCTACTCAGGGTCCCTTGCGTTTCCATATGAATTTTGGGATAAACTTTTCAATTTCTGCAAAAAAGCCAGCTGAGATTTTCATGGAGGTTATGTTGACTCTTTAAACAATTTGGGGAGCATAGACATCTTAACAATCTATCATAACATCTTCTCTATGAACTTGGGAGTTTTTTTCATTTTCTTTTTCTTTTCTTTTTTTTTTTTTTTTGAGATGGAGTCTCCCACTGTCACCCAGGCTGGAGTGCAGTGGTGTCATCTTGGCCACTGCAACCTCTGCCTCTCAGGTTCAAGCGATTCTCCCTGCCTCAGCCTCCTGAGTAGCTGGGATTACAGGTGCCTGCCACCAAACCTGGCTAATTTTTGTATTTTTAGTAGAGATGGGTTTTGCCATGTTGGCCAGGCTGGTCTTGAACTCCCCTCCTCAGATGATCTGCCCGCCTTAGCCTCCCAAAGTGCTAGGATTATGGATGCGTGAGCCCCCACGCCTGGCCTCATTTTCTTGTTTTTAATTTCTTTCAGTGATGTTTTATAGTTTTCAATGTACAGTCTTACACTTCTTCTGTTAAATTTATTCCTAAGTACTTTATTATTTTTAATGTGAGTGGAATTGTTTTCTTCACACTTGATCTTGGCCAAAAGGCCGAGAAGCCATGGAATTGTTTTCTTAATTTCATTTCTGGATTACTCATTGCTAGTGTATAGAAATACAATTACTTTTTGTATATTGATCTTACGGCCTACAATTTGCTGAATTTGTTTATTGGCTTTTATAGTTTTGTGTATATGTATGTATATTCCTTAGGATTTTTAATATATAAATTGTCATCTGCAAGTAGAGACAGTTTTGTTTATTCTTTCATAAACTGAGTGCCTTTTATTTTTTTCTTATCTGATTGCTGGATTCTTAATCATCTTTAAATGTCCATTGATTTGCACAGAATAGGTACTCAATAACTTTATTGATTAACTTTGAGATTAAAAATCAGTTTTTATGTAATAAGCTGCAGTTTCTCATATTTAATGTGTTTTGTTTTATTTCTTTATTTTTTTTTTAAAGATGGGATTTCACCATGTTGGCCAGGCTGATCTTGACCTCAGGTGATCCACCCACCTTGGCCTCCCAAAGTGCTAGGATTACAGGCCTGAGCCACTGCGCCGGGGTGGGGGGAGGCGGGGGTGGGGCGGGGGGGGGGGGGGGGGG